ATGAGAAGTTTTTGCTTGTTTTCATACCGGCCACACTGGGTCCTCCCTTTAACTCGAGAACACCGACGTAATCGCCTTGAGTGGTGCAGACAACGGTCACTCTGGGATCAGGAATGGAACAGTATTGTCTTTAGTGACGAGTCTCGATTTTGTTTAGGCATGCACGATGGTCGTGCCAGGGTTAGAAGGCGACGTGGTGAAAGGAGGAATCCACAGTTTTTTGTTGAAAGACATGTTCATCACACTGTTGGAGTTATGGTTTGAGGTGCTATAGCTTATGGTTCCAGGTCACCTTTAATCTTCATCAGAGGTAACATGAACGCGCAGCGTTATATCCACGAAGTTCTAGAACCCCATATTTTACCCTATCTTGACACCCTGGCAGATCCAACTTTCCAACAAGATAATGCCCGACCACACGTTGCAAGAGTCACAATAGACTTCTTTCAACATAATGATGTCACATTGTTACCATGGCCACCAAGATCTCCCGACTTATCCCCAATTGAGCACGTGTGGGATATGATGGGTAGGAGATTGCTCAATTTGCAACGTCCTCCTCAGACTCTATAAGCACTTCGAGAGGAGTTGGTGGTTGCCTGGAATGAGATACCACAGGAGGACATTGACCACCTGATCAGAAGCATGCTTAGGCGCGTTGGAGAATGCGTAGCACATCAGGGTGCATCCACACATTATTAAAGGTCAAAGGGCTTTAAAGCAGTGCAATCATTTTGAAATTTTTATCATTTACTTATTATGCTTCATTAAGTACTTATACAAAATTTTATTAAAATAAATCCATTTAAACTAGATGTTCGGATTTATATGTCACTTAGTATACATATAGTGCAGAATTATATTTTTTTGATAATCACTCATTCTGGTCATTCTTCTCAAAGATGTAGAAACCACCTTCCCTAACCTATAAACAATAATCCCAATACCTTCTCAATACATGCAAATTCTCGGAAACCAAAATTTACCACCTGCTGCTTGTACAAAAGCAACAGTAATCAATTAACAGAAGTACCTGTGGAAAAAGCATAAAGGTTCCCTTGACCCCCATTTACTCTACCTGGTATCTTTCCCAGAAAAATTAGGCCCTTGACTACCTGAATACCTTTGACCATAAATTGTGCTTACTCTGGTCATTCTGTGTTTGAAGCTTTTTCTGTTGGGAGTGAGGTGAATAGATGCCTCGCAAAATTTACTGTAGGTTTGTGTATAGTTGTAGAGTGTTGTGTGAGTGGCTTGATGTTCAAGGTTCCTACATACCGATTTTCATTGCTTTGGTAGTAGCCATTTATACGAGGATATGTTTCTAACCTCACCTAATTAGGTCTTGAGAAAGTATTTATTTTTTTATAGTCAATAACATTTATTTTCAAGTAACACAAAAATAAATCTCTTCATAATAGTCTCCTCTCACATATCTATACTAAATAACCCAAAAGTACAACATTATAAGATGCTGAACACATATACGAATTGTTTTTAAACACATATCAATACTTAATAACAAATTAAAACTAATTTTGCGAAACATACCTATTCTACCTAACAATCCAGGAATTAACCGAGTATGGCTTCAACTCTACCAAAAACTCTTTAAGCTCCCTCTTAAAGATCTTTTTATTCCTGACAGTTTAAATATCTATTATATATCTAGTTGTTTAAAAAAAAATCCGTTTTATTACTAAATACAAATAGAATAATTTCAAAAATGTATACTGCATACATGGTTGATAGTTACTTTGCATTTCAAAAATTTCTGGATTTATGCAATAAAAAGTATCCTCTATCATATCAAGTTTGCAACATTGTTCTTACAACTGCTTTGTTTAAGTAAATATTTTGAGATATATGAAATGTAATGAGTTTTATTTAGTTTTCCATTCACATAATTTGTGTTGCCCCAAAAATTTAGTGATTTTCCTTATTTTTTGTTTCACAGTTGATGAAAACCAATTACGGTTTTCGTTACTGCTTAACCAGTTCTTTTCTGATTCATTGTAAATGTACTATTTGTATGTGTACTAAAGTCTCAAACTCTTTTAGTTCCAAGTTTATTCAGTTGTTATGAAACCTTTTTGGTCAATATATGTCGTGAGATATTCCAGTATATACTTCTTTAAAATAGTAGTACGGAAAAATCTCACGACTTGTATTGTTGCGTCTTCATAGGAAACTATTGGCAGTATTTGTATCAAGCAACTACCATTATTCAAGAGAGAAAATCTAAATGCTTGTTTCCTTATCTTTGGTGATCTAGCCGTGTGACTGTTTGTGAGGATCATATGGCTATATCACCAAGTTAAGGGGGTGAGTTGTGCTTCAACGGAGGTAAATGATATTGGCAGTGAAGGAACTACTGGTGTGACATGGGGTTTTAAGTACATATCACAGCCATTAGTTACTTCATTGCTGGTGTTGGCATACATGTGTGAAGATCTGTTTCAAGCTGGAAGTGGATGACAGTATGATGTTGAAAACTGTAAGTTTATGTTTATATAGTATTTTTCTATTGTTGGTGCAATTTAGAAAATGCTACCAAGGAAAGAAAACATTACAAAAAAAATTATTTCGGTACATACAAGCTTCATCCAGGTTTCTATAGAGCCATTCTGACTTGCTAGTAGCTAATCACAATAACGTACTTATACAGGGTGTCCGCAAAGTTGGGGTTTTCCTTTTCAGAAACAACTACCCTTGAAATAACAAAGGTAATGTGTAGTGAAACGAGGGCGACCAAGTAAAAAAAAATAAAGGAAAAAGTACTCACTCTCCAGTTGACGAGAAGGGCTGAGTACGTCTCTGCCCGAAATCATAACGCTCCAACAGAAAATGAAATCAGCTGATGCGCTACCGAGCAGACGCAGGCAAACAAGGGAGGCAAAATGTTGCGTAAAAAGTGTAGGTATTGCATCCCGTCCAATCGATTTGGGAGAATAAATGGTCCAATGAGCATACCGTTCACCAAGCCAGCCCAAACATTCACCGAAAATGTTTGTTGAAAATGTGCCCGACGGACAGCGTGCGGATTTTCTACTGACCAAACATGAGTGTTGCGAAAGTTATTCACCCCATTATGCGTGAACGTAGATTCGTCTGTGACCAATATGCACTTCAAAAAGTCCGGATTATTGTCATGTTGATGCAACAACCACTCACAAAACCGCACTCTTGCTGGAAAATCGTCAGGTTGAAGGGCTTGTACACGTTGGACATGAAACGGATACAGCCCCTCTTCACGCAGCGTTTGCCACACTTTAGTTTTTGATACTTGCACGTCTCTAGTGCTTGTTGAGGGATTCTCGTCTACGCGATTAACTCTACACGCGTGACCATAACCGTCGGTTGAAGGTTGCATACTGACCTGACACACTGACCCCGACCCAGTTCTGTCGTCGGGTTGAGCTAGTGACCTTGTACCAATCGGTGATGCCGCGGGTCGCGGCTACAGGACGTTATTCAGATATTTTTGATGTTGCAGAGGCCTTTATCTCGGTTCCCTTAAGACATTGGTGTAAATAGTACTAAGAAAAATTGCTTATGTTTTCAAGATCTACACGTCGTGTAAAGGAAAACCCCAACTTTGCGGACACCCTGTATAAATCAACATAAACTGAATGACATAGAAAATGCAACACCGACTAGAAGTGCTGTAATTTTGAGCATATTTTACAAGTTTTAGGCCTACTGATAAATAAAAAGTGATTAAAATTTTAACTCGAAATTCCGCAAAATAGCGGAGATATCCCACCTTAATGTTAATAATGTGTTGAAGCTACTCTGTTTGCTACACCTTCTTTAAGTCATGCAGGCCCTGATTGGATCAGCTGATTTATGTTTTCTTGGTGTATTTGTATTCCAGGCCATCTGAATTTGGTTTTGTAGAGCATCCAATCTTTGAGGAGTCATGTTACCTCGAATGAACACTGATCGTGACCTGCTGCCGTAAGCAATGGCGCCCCATACCATAACACCCACGGTTCGATTAATAAGCCGTTCGATGGAATATTGGTCTTCCACCTCGTCTCCTCCTTACTCTTGCACGGCTATCATGTGTGCCCAAACAGAACCTGGACTCATCGCTGAACACAACTGAGTTCCATTCCATATTCCGTTCAAGTCTCTCCCTACTCCATACCAATCGTTGCCGATGATGCTGTGGGGACAGAGGTAGTATAAGATGGGGACGGTATGAAAACAGTCCAAAAGACCTTATTCTGTGATAAACTCTCATTGTTATTGCCCACTGGTTCGCAACTGCCCTTGTGGAAAATCGATCTCCAAGTGCTAGTTGCCTCAAATAACGATCCTGTCGCTGTGTAGTATGTCTTTGACGTCCAGTGCCTCTAACTCGTCGATTTCGGCCTTCTTGGAACCACGCTCGACAACAGCTCATTACAGTAGCTTCGTTTCGATTCACCCGATTAACGATTTCTCCAAAAGAAAATCCGGCATCACGAAACCCGATTATCAGAAACCTCTCAAACTCGGAAAGTTGAGTGAAAGTAGCGCGTCTGTGAACGGCACGATAATGCAATGAAACCAACACAGAAAAATCACTGAATATCAAGTAAGCATGTTCATATTGTTCGGATCCTGATGTCAAAAAAGGCTTGGAATGCCTTCAACATTTTTATCAGCGTATACTTCCATGATAGCAAATATGTTTACAAGTTTTAATCAAAATTCAATAAATAATTCTGGGTGTTGCATTTTATGTCACTTAGTGTATCATACAGAAATAGAACTGCTCTGAGATAGTTCCTTGTAGAACCTGACTAAGGCTGGAATATTACAAGTATTACACAGCTGGATCAACATAGCGTAAGTGGCAACACTGTTTAGAAAGTACTGACATTCATTGATGTGCTGTGTGTGGGTAATGCCAGCAGAAACAATGTATAGACTTTATTTTCCAGCAGAAAGGCGAGAAATAAAGAGAGAGGATATAAAGAATTACTAAAATTTTGTTTATATTTAATTTACTGTTATATACATTTTCATCATATAAATTCTTAGATAGTAGTTGTTGCATAATGCACTTTTATTGTACAAATATACAAGTCGTTTGTGTACTGTAAATATAGAACTGTATAAAATACATATATTCAGAATCTTATTATATAATTTACAATGTAATGCATCATGAAGTCATAACAATTCAGCTATTGTTTTAGAATCTTTTTCAATTTTCTTGATTCCCATTGGCAGGTCCAGTTTGTGACAGGTGTTTTACAATGTCTACCCAGTTCCACCCTCTTGGTTTTTCACCTTTTCCATCAGTTCTGTTCCACTGTCTTCTCTTTTGTGCCTTTGTCAGTTGTTCTTTTTTCTCTTTTTTACAGCTATCATCCTAGAAGGAACATTCTTAACTTAGTTGATTGTACATAAGATCTAATATTTTTTTTTAATAAAGACCCTAATCCAAGGTTTTGTGTTTCTTTCCAATAACACAGGTTCACAAAAAAGTTGTGTATATTTTTACCATATTTTGTTGAACATGAATTTAAAGAAAGAATTTGGGAATATACACATTTTTTTCGGTGTTCAGGCCTTCGCGGCTACGTCAGTATAAAACATAAATGATGAATGTGATACTTCCATATTTGACTCCCAACTCCTAACTTCAGATTCGTGTTCAGTGGGAAAGATATTGCGGGACTCCCACACACCACTTTTTTTTGTGGACATGTAATCATACAAGGCAAAATGTGACAGTGGCTGCTTAATCTTAGTGCTATCTGAAGTATATTTTATCAGGTTATGCTCATTATCAGTGACAGGTGACACCAATGTTGCCGAACCTTCCGATTTTTCGGTAAAGCTTATGAAATGATGAGACGTTGCTGAAATACCGAAAACATGTTTCCACGATTTTTGAAAATAATTCAGATATTTACAGATTCTTTACCGAAAAAGAGCTGCAACCAGTCAAAAATGAATTATATGCGTACTCAGGCAGTCGGGCACACGACGGACGTAGATTTGGGTTGCCTACAATTCTGTACACACATCCGTTACTCTGCTTTTCCTGTATTTTTTTATGCGAACAATAAATACAGATTCTTAAATTACCGCACAAGCATTAAAGGAACCAAAGCTTCAGAGCCGTCTTTAGCAGATGCGAGGCCTTTTTTTGAAGAAAGTCTGCTGCGAATTTTTTTTTTTTGAAATTCTCGCGCAAAAGTGGTATTAGCATTTTTGATAAAGTCATTTCATCTCAAAACACGCCAATTACTGACGTGATTGTTTTCATTTGCGAGGGTTGAGTCTATTTTTATTTTTTACGTAAGTATACAATATTTCATTCTGTGTAAAGAAGTGAGAAATATGATTTATGACTATAGTCTAAAATTCTAATAAAATTCAGGTCTGCCAGGAAATGAATAAATTCATAAAAGAAACCTTCTTTTTGTAGTGAATAATCAAACATAAATAAGTACTTATTACTACAAAATTATATTATTTGCACATACTATCTTTCGGTCACAATTATCGCCTTGGTGAGTTTTGTAGTTAATCAATAATTTAAGATATTGCTATAGTAATCACACATATTTGTCTGTACTGTTACCTCGTCAGTTTGCAGTTCAGTGGCTGCACGCTGCAGACGTGATTGGCACAACTGAACGATTCATTCGTAACAAAAGACTCGTTCAATCACCGCTTACTGCGAAGACTCGTTCACCAATGTGAAAAAGTAAAGGAAAATATTGAGATGTTAGCCTCCCTTTAGTGTGGACATTTTTAAGAATTTTCCTTTTCAGTAGGCACACTTTTCAACTCGGGAGGGAAGTGACATAATTCATCAGTGAAGCAATAATACAGGGTGGTCGATATGTAACTGACTGGATTGTATCTTAAATATTTGTGAAATGAAATAAAATACGCCCTTTTTTTATTGAAACTTAGGAATTATTTATGAAAAATAATATCAGACAAATGTCCGCCTTTAGCAGCCGCGCAAACCTGAGCCCTGTTGATTACAACTTCCATCACTTTTTGGGACGAATATTTTCAATCGCTTCCATAATATTCTTCTTCAACTGCTCTACAGTATTTGGTTTGTTGGCATAAACCCCATTTTCCAAAAATCTCCACAAAAAAGTCAGGAGCCATTAAATCTTTTGATCTTGGTGGCCAGTTGACATCACCAAATCGAGGAATTAAACGTCCCAGAAATATTGTTCGCAAGAGATTCATTGTTTCCCTAGCTGTGTGACAAGTTGCTCCCTCCTGCTGGAACCACATGTTTTGCAGGTTAAATTGTTGGATTTTAGGAGCCAGAAAGTTCTGCACATCACGGTAGCGCTCGCCAGTGATAGTAAGAGAATTAAGTGCAGCGTCTTCAAAGAAGTAAGGTTCAATGACACCTCCATACCAAACACCGCGCCAAACTGTGACTCGACGAGGATGTAATGGTCGTTGATGGATGACACGAGGGTTCTCTACGAACTCTCTATATTCTACGGAGTACGAACAGTTCAAACACGGACCGACCAACTGACGAATGGTGTTGACAATTGGACATATTATTTCGACCAAAATCTTGTAGCTTCCGAATCGTTGCAACAATCGACTCATTATTTAAGTAAAACGATTTAACAATACGGACATGTTGTAAAATCGTGTAGCGCTCCATGATGAATCGGACACGTGCTTTAAACAACTTCTACGAAGCCACCTACTAAAATGTATGTATGAAAAATGGCGCGCAATTTGAATCAGTCAGTTATATATTGCCACCCTGTATAAAGACATATTTCCAAGTTGAATGAATGAAAATAAATGGTTTTTAAGTAAAAATGAAATTGATATTAGTAATTGAATATGTTAGAGTGTATCACTCACAAAATACAATCTGTCTTTCATTTAACCCAAGTTTTATCTAATTGTTGACATTTGCTACTATCTAATTTCATTGACTGTATCTTTGGGATAAGATTAGGGAAATAATATGCTATGTAACTTATCCTGTGGTTTTCATTTTGACAGGACTCCATTATCTTTACACTAAATCAAACCACATGTTTTATTTAGTGTTCACAGCTTGATTTGGCAGCCAGATTATGGACTCTCAAGAAAGATGTGTTCTTACCTCATTTTCTTGGTGGGTGGTGGTAAGTATTTTGTCATCTTCTATCTTTTCAATAGCATCAGGCTGTTCCTGTATCAATTCATAAAATTTTTCTTTGACAAATTCAAATAAAGAGTATGTCATTGACATACCTAGATATTGTTCTGCTTCACTTTTCACAGTATCTACTACTTGTTTTTTCACAGATGGTAAACTAAAAAATAATATCTGATGAAAATCTTGTGTGTAGATGTTATAAGGGCAATGATGAAATATTCAGCGTCCCATTCAAGTAGCTAAAAGGCCCTAGTATCCATAGATACTCAGAGAAGTTTTTAGTCCTATCAATAGCCATTCTCAAGATAGATTATCAGACTTCATGAATACACCTTGAACATAACAGTGCTAACACTAATGTAGATACATATTAATATAATGTATTCTCAAGTTCTTAGAATATTCTAAAAGTATCTTTTCTGCTATAAGTTTATTTTGATCAAGACACCAACTGGAAAACATTTTACCTTTAGGTTGCTGGTGTACTTGTATCTTAATCAGAATGTGAGAGGCTAGGGGGTGGTGGAGGGACCGCACAGGGTAGGAGGGTGTGTGTGTGTGTGAGAGGCTAACCTGGTTGTGGTGGAATACATTAAAGTGACTTTTTGCAGCACCTTCTGTAAAGCTATTAGGAGGCAGCTGCATTAAGAGGGATCTAACATCATCTGTTAAAAATCGTTTAGCAGATTTAGTGCTGTACTACTATATGAACAAACACATTTGTGATTAACCCAATTTTTATAGTGCGGTCTTCCTGTAGTTTTGATCGCGAATTATTTTAGGTGGTACCATGATATACTTACACATGTTTATTATAAAAGGTATCCATATTAATATTAGGCAGTTCATTTGGGTATTTTTCACTCCATTTGATCTCCAGAAGGAAGGATTTTGCTGTATCACTTTCTCCATACTGTAATCACAATAGCAAAGACATTTATGTGACCAATATTGGGTAAATATTGTCTACAAACAAAAGTTTCAAATTAACAGCAGAGCTGCATGCCAAATATGCATGCGAGATCTTACTTTATATTGATAGGTCTTGTCGTCAATTTGCTTAAAAGATTCGTCTCCCTCGTAGATAGATGATAGCACTTCTCGTTCCTCTTCTTGGATTTCCTCCTGAGCCATTCTAATTCATTTACTAAAGAATTGATCTGGAAGGAATGATTTAATAACCTATTGTATAAACCTGTGCTCAACCTGTGCCTGAATGTCAAACTGCACAACACAATAATACACAAAACACTAAGCGTGTGCCGAGTTGCCTAATTTTGGTGCATGCATGGAGTGTTAAGGAGTGCACACACTTTAGACTTATTACTTGGGCAGTCGCGTTTTTCACCGCTTTGGGTTAAAGGTAAGGGTTACTTAACTCGGAGATAGCGGTAACCCCAGGTTAAATTCGAGTAGCTTTGCACCGTCAAGTTTTAACTCTGGGTTTATAAACCCCTACTTTTGGTCATGTTGGCAAGCTTGGAATATAGGGATATTCCTTAGGATTGATACATTTATTGGCAATATTCTGTGCTAAAAGTTTGTTGATTTGTGCTTGGAGTTGAAAGATTGACGTAAATTTTGACATTTTAATACTTGTGTTTTGTATTCACTTGCTTTGCTATTTTTTTTCGATTATCGTTTGTTTGATTTGTCTGGATAAAATATTTTTAAATTCCCAACTTCCAAACAGAATCACACATCACACACACACACATATATATATATATATATATATATATATGTGATTCTGTCACACACATACACACACACACACACACACACACACACACACACACACATATATATATATATATACAGGGTGACTTTGAAGTTGAGTCATTAATTTTCAGATAATGATTGTAGAAGGAAGATAAACCAAAATATGTGTGTAAAAATACAAAAAAATTAAAAAAAAAATTTTACCTTGTTTTATAAAGTATCCTCCCGACAAGTATTTCAGTGCGGACCTGTATTTGATCGTGAGGTCCCCTGTGAGGTCTTAAGTCACCTGATTCACGAGCCCGTTGTACTACATTAACAAAGGCACGAGGGGTTGGTTGCACTCGATTGAGAAACCGATCCGCATAAACATGTGCCATTTTTTATTTCATTTGAGCCACGCAACAGACACTATTCACACGCGACTGACACTGACTGTATGTATAACTGAACTGAATAACATAATTGTAAAAACATCGTTCCAAATTCCTTCGCTTTTTTGTTTCCGATGCGACGAACCGATAAGGCGGAGTATATCCGTTGTTGCCAAACACGAACACATGATATTATTGAGACAGGGCGGTACTCAAACTTCCAAAGGGCTATAACTTTGTTACTTTAATTTTACCAGAAAAATGGTAAAGGAAAAAAACATTTCTTTTGATCAGATCTACTCACTGTTAAAATAAATGACTCAACTTCGAAGTCACCCTGTATATATATATATTTGTGATTCTGTTTGGGAGTTGGGAATTTGAAAATATTTTTCGCTGTGGATCGACAAGGCGCATCATACAGCCGACAGTATTGTCCGCAAAGCACCCTGGTAATTATGGACGTACTCGTTACCATAAATAATGAAGAATTCGACGAGGATGACCTTATTCCTCTGGAATGAAATCTAAACAGCCCAACAAACAGTTACAAGAACCAATATTAGAGAGTTTTAGCAGTCACAAGTTTGGTTGCGTAAGCGTTAAAAGAACGTCATTTGACATTTAAGTCTTAACCTCTTTTTTATTGTCAGTACGCATAGCGATGCGCAGGTACTACCTACATTTTCATGGTGCTATCCGCCTTAAGACCCAGTTCAAGTGAGAGGTAAATTTATCCTAGAGTTAGGCCTTAACTCCGAGATAACTATGACGGTGCAAATACTAACTCGAAGTTAGCGCTAACCCTCACTTTAACCCGAACCGGTGCAAACCACCGTCAGGGAACAAATTAGAATCTATAGCAAAAATAACTGAAGTTAGTATGGTGGAGTGGTGAACTTATAAGTAAACAAATGCAGAAGAAACGATAGATTATATGCATACAAAATCGTTCAGGCAACGTCAACGTTTTCAATTCGCGTTCCGGTTCGAAAAACGGAACTGGGGAGACCAAATGCCAGGGTTAAAACTAAAAAATATGTAGTTACAACCGCAGGGTTATTACGTAAAAAACATATGCCAAAAAACCGATAAAATGTCAACTTGTTGGCTAGGTAGCTGGTAGCTGGTAGCGTGGAAATAGTTCGATCCTGATGAATATATGCTTGGCCAACATCAAATAAATCAAGACCTGCAGTCTATTTTTGACATATCTAGTGCTCACAATCTAAAACTAAATCCTGGCAAATCATGCTGCATTTTATTTGGGCCCAAAAAGAATCGTGAAATAAATCAATATCGCATTAATATTATGGTGAATAATGAAGACATATCCTTTGTAAACGAATGCAAAAACCTTGGTATCTGGTTTGACTGCAAGCTACGCTTCACTAAACATGTTAACCAACTATGCAATGCGTCCTATAATGTGCTTCGTCAGTTATATCCGAGTCGAAGTGTCCTGTCGACACAGCTCAAGCTTAAACTCTGCGAGTCCCTTATCCTGTCAAAATTATCTTACGGTGACTCTGTTTATGGACCTGCTCTTTTACAACGTGATGCCGAGCGGATTCAGATGATACAAAACTCATGCATCAGATTTTCTTATGGAATCCGTAAATTTGATCATATTAGTAGCGCTTTTGACCAATCGGGATGGTTTAAGATGAACAAATTGAGGAAACTGCATTGCCTATCTCTGGTACATAAGACCCTTATCCTTAAAGCGCCATATTATCTTTATACAAAACTAAGCCTCCTCTGCCAGTACGATCAAAGATCCTCTAGGAATAAACTCATCTTACTTATCCCGCGGCATTCGACAGCATTGTTCACACGCAGTTTCTCGTACTGGGCACCCAAACTATATAACTGCTTATCAAGTGAGTATAAAGAATATAGCCTAAGCAATTTTAAAAAAAGGTTAAAGATGAGTTTAAAGCAGTCGGATGGCTAAAATTTTACTTTATGCATATCCACAGGTAATTGATTGTTTCCTTTCTCTGATAAGTGTTATATTCTAAGTTTTTTTTTTCTCTCTCTCTCTATAGTTTGTGTCAATGTTTTCCAGGTCGGGTTGAAAAACAGCATAAGCTGACACTCCACCTTTTCGTCACTGTTCCTTTTAAACCAATTATTTTGTAATCGTGTGACGAATAAAGGCCATTTATTATTATTATTATTATTATTATTCCGCGCCTGCTACAAGTGAGCATGAAGTGAACGTGAACGCCAGCTAGTTCCTACACTTGACATCTTGTAGGAAAACCTACATAATGTCAAAAAACAGACATCCTGTCAGTTTTCAAATTACGTATTACCCCTGCCGCAGTGTGTGTGACTCCCTTTACATCACTGTCAGTTGTCAAGATTGTCATTCTTGAATTTTGGCGCAAAAACAATAGCCCACATTGTGTTTATTGTTGAATCTTTGCCGTTTGATATTAAGTAATTTAGTTTTTTATCCAGATATATTATGGTTATGTGCAAACAGTTTGTGAACGCTATTACTCATATGTGATGTGTGCATAACCGTAAAAGCTTTTTGTAGTGGTGCTTAAACAAAAATTCGACTGGAAAACATGGAAGCCACTAAACGAATGTCTATGAACACAATTCTGAAAAATGCAAATCTTTTCGACGATGTAAGTATTAACTCAAGTTTTGCTTGATATTGATATTTGTCATCTTGTTTTGCTGCTAATAATGCACATTTTATTATTATTTATTTGAAAAAATGGTCATAGAAGTGACATTTTTGATTGATCCCAGATCTCAGCAAGCCAATCCCGTGAATCAACATGTGTTTGATGTAATTTAATGTTTTTAGTCTCTTCAAGAATTCTCTTCCAGCCTGAAGCTTTTCTGTAGAAGTAATATGTTTTTTAGTATTTAGATACACCTAGATGTATGTATATACTCAACCTGTATGATAATTTGCTTTTAATTTTCCCTAGCTTTGAGATTGGGTCATATCATCTAGGTTTAGGTATCCTATCATGGACCATGATAGAACTAGAATGTTTTTAATGTTTTGCAACAGCAAAGCAAGGCTCAGAGATTTGCTGTCCCTTAGGCTTTGTTCAGCTGCAGGCCCACAACTCATGTGTGCTCAGGGGCCCCTATATGGCTTGAGAAGACATAGTCATAAATACATAAATCTCTTTTAAAAATGTTAAATTACTATAATGATATAGGTATTGGTGGAAAATGGTTAAAAACAGAGTGTAAATGATCAGTAGGAATCTGAGTATTTGATCATAGTTAAGTTGTAATTGGCAGACATTGTCAGTAAATATCAATAGTAAAACACTACTGGCTTATGCTTAATGCTGAATTGTCAACACATCTTGCCATATCTTATTCTCATTTTCAACCACATTTGATTCAAGAATGTTTTGTGCTTTTTTGGCAACTATTTAACAAGATGGTACAAGGCAACATGTGGTGCTAGTGTGTTATGTAAACCGCTATGATAACAATCTTTTTGTATGCCAAGTGAAGTAATCAAAGGTTCTCATATGTATTGTTGATTAGGACTCTCTGGATGAAGATTCCCTGCAGCCTAGAGATCCAAGTGAACTTTCTGCAGTGTTTTCTGGAAGTCCCACATTTGAAACAGAGACAGTCAGAATTAAACAGGAAATAAAAAAGGAGTTCTCAAGTGATGATGAGGAGGAATCTACAGAGATTTCTATAAAACAAGAAGTATGTATTGAGAAAATCAAACAAGAAACAAAAGAGGAACCTGGCACTAATGGTACAAACCATCTATTGTATGCTACTCCAGTTAAACAAGAAATAAAGTCAGAACCTGCTGAAACTCCTGACCCTTCTCCTTTTAATAAAGAGGCATTTCATTATTTTCATATTGAGAGCCCAGCAGAGGATAATAAAAGCTCTAAAAATACCCCTAAAGAAGATTTAAGGAAAATTGCAAAGACTGCTAAAAGGACAGTTTTTAATAGATATATGACATATGAGAACAATAAAGCTGAAACAAGACAATCAGTAAAAGAGAGGTTAGGACCACCACCTCAGAAAGAACATGCAAGGTAAAGATATATGTGTTCAGAACTGTTGTTTATTGGCAGAAAAAAAGTAAATTAAAGAAAGCTATAATAAACACCACTTCAATATCTGAAATCATACATATCCAAATGTTGAAATGTTTATATTATAATTTGATAGAATATAGGAGCTATCCACTAAAAAGATCATAGCTTTTATTTGTTGCAAGGGTATGCTAAAGTAGAAATTACCTGCTAGAGTATCTTCATTATGTTTACTATTAACAACAGATTAATCAGATTTAACTTTATATATTAAACATGTGTAAATATGTTTGTGGATTTTATATATTAATTTATAGGAATTTGATATAATATTTCTTCCTTACTAGTGATAGTGAGATTGTTCTAGTATGATCATATGTAGCAATGTGCCCCTTTGGATCTAATAATCTATAAATAAAATTTCCAGAAAATATTAGGATGAGGCACATAATTTTAGACAGTTGCTAGAGCACAATATACAAGAGCTGTGAAAGTCATCCTGTCATCTAAATAGCTATTGTATTATCTTGAAATATTTAGACTAATGGCTTATGATCTGCTGTATATACACTGTTTCACGAGTATCGATCACAGTAAAATGACAACTGATTATCTAGTGAAATCTCAAAATTCCCCATATTGGCACATGACACATAATTTGACAGATCTGTCAACACTAGGTAGACAGAGCCGAATTTTGTTTTGGTTTTTTGTACACTACAGATTCATTTTATACTTGCTAACAGGTCTTTTATTTAGAAAAGGTCATTATTGCCAACGTTGCAGACTAACACAAAAATGTGCTGTACATCTGTTCACCTCAGAAGGCGTTAAAGTGTGATGGATACTCCTGAAATTAATAGGATATGTGTCGAGATGGTAACATGCTTGGTTGGTTGCTTTTTTATTTTTATCTGTAAAATACAGAAATTTTATTCTATTGACATTTTTTCAGTAAAGGAACAACAGAATCTAAAAGGATGTCAGTTAAAAAAAGACTTGGACCTTCAGTGACTGAAAATGAAACACCAAGGTAAAATATAAAATAATGTCGCTTGTTTAATGCTTACTGAGTCTTATTGCAGTAAAAAGAATAAAAAGAAGGAAATGGAATCTGATCCTGAAATATTAGCTAGACGTCAGAAGCAAATTGATTATGGTAAAAACACCCTTGGTTATGATAATTACATAAAGACTGTACCAAAGTAAGTATAATTCCTATGAAGATCTTACAAGTATCTATTTTATTGACAAGTTTAGTGGCATTGGTTACATTCAGTTGCACATAGCTGCTAAAAGGTAGCATTGGGTAAAGTATTGCTTAATTTAGTCTGCTAGATGTTATCTGAATGGGCTGAAATTTTTAAAAACCTTGATATTGGTTGAAGTCAGGTATGTGACACATGAGCAAGTCATACTTCATACAGTTAGGTGCAACTAAACATAACTAATGTTATATACACACAAAAAGCTTGGGGAACTGGGTAGTGTCTGACTGAAACCAGTATTTCAGCTGAAACCAAAACCAAAATTTCTGTCCAATGCCTATTGCATCAATACTATTTAACGTTAGTTTAGCCGGAAACCTAGTTTAATTTGAAGATTTCTGTTGCACAAGTAGTTAAGCTCCATTTGAAGTTTTGTAAACCATACAAAGGTAGTTTTTTGGGAAACTAAGTTTGTACAGTTTTGAATATTCTGCCTGGAATTGAGACTGAACTGGAATTCCCTGAAGATTTGTGAGTTATCTACCATCTTGAATTACATAAAAAAGTGCTAAGATTTCTTTAGTCTTACAATATTCAAATTCACTGCTGGTGCAACAGGCCATTGGAATGTAATCTAATAATAATAATTGATATTATATAACGTGAATACCGATTTTTCAAGATTTTCCCTTAGCAAATTTGACTTTTGGTTTGATTAAATTTGCCCGAACGCGTCCAAAAGCATGGAACTATAAACTGCTTTTGGACCGAAACTGGCCGAAACCGAAAGTTCGGACGGGCACTAGAACTGGGCCAATTCTTTGACTCGTTTACGCTTTATATGATACTAATACAGCACCCTTATTTTCCTAGAGAGAAACGTACTTCAGAAGATCCCCAAACACCAAATAAATACGTGAAATATTCTAGACGCGCTTGGGATGGGCTGATAAGAAAATGGAGATTGCAGCTTCATAAATACGACGAATCCTAGTTTTATTTTAATTTTATCTTTATTTGACATTTCTTTTATCCATTTGATCAATTTTTTATATTTTTGAGTTTGTCATATTTACGAGTGAAACTTTCTGATAATTCGTATATGTGCAAAGGTAGTGGATATTAATGTATTTTATTTTTAAAGCAATAAAATATCTAATATTTTGCTAAGTTGTGATTTCATTCAGTGAGTGTTAATTTAATATCGTGCTTGACAGAAACACACTGAAGATGGCGTTCATCCTCGTTTTTCGTTAGTTGTTGGAACAAACCTATTTGAAATTCGTACATGAAATACATTACTTGTATTCTGCAAGACAAAACGTGGCACATTGAATATGTACTTTCAACGCCTGCATATCTGCTAAGTTGGGTAGAGGGTCAATTCACTGATGGATGAGAAAGGTTAAGTAAAGATAAAAGTACGTGAACTTAAATTCTGAAGGCTGCTTTTTATACATACTTTGGAAAATATGAAATATTCAGCACTGTCGGATACTTCTCACCGGCCGTAACTTCTACCAACGCTTTAAACAAGGTGTCCATCTTAACTGTTTTTGCAAGAGCGTCTAGGAAAAAATGTTTTATAGATGAGTTACAATTACAGAAAACGGGTTGGCTTGCTAGCCTTAACGCCACTGTCTAAGGCACTTTGTCGAGCCGTGATGCTTTAATGAGCCTCCATAGCCTTGACACAGGGCTTTGTATGTAGCTTCCCCCTGTTGGAACTATGATTCCTAATATCTTATACCAGAGCCTTGCCAGCAGTGGTGACGCGTGACTTCCTAAACTGTTACCAAAACCAGATGTGAAATTGGTCATCATTCAATACTGAAGTAATGCTGCTACTTACACGAGATTTAATTTCATCTCTTATTTCTCTCGTTATAATTGTAAATCACCTGTGTTTCACTGATGCCTCTATAGAGACTAAAGATGTGTACTGTGAATAATTTCCACAACTAGCTGTTAACTTGTTGCGCGATTTTTTACTTCGAAGGTTGAGCAACCAAAAACACGTCTACTCTGTCTCGACTCTAGACATGCTATGACATGACGTTGTTTATGAGTGATGAAGCATATTTTCATTTACATGGATACGTCAATAAACAAGATTGTCGATATTGATCTTCAGTGAACCCCCAACAGTTTCATGAGCACCCCCTGCATACCCAGAAAAATACACTTTGGTGTGCAGTAGGCCCAACGATGATTATTGGCCCTTATTTTTTTGAGGATGATGGAGAAACAACTACGATGCATTCAGAGCGTTACATCCACATGCTGAACAACTTTTTTTTCCGGAACTTCAACGACGACGTGTCCGTCTCAGAACAGTATGGTTCCAACAAGACGGGGCAACATCTCACACAGCTCGCACTTCGATGGAACTTCTTCGGCAAAAATTCCCAGGACGTCTCATTTCACGTCATGGCGATGTTCCATGGCTCTCTCGCTCCCCGGACCTGTCAACGTGTATTTTTTTTATGGGGCTACCTGAAATCGAAAGTTCCCCAAAGCACGCCTCGGACCCTGGTCGATTTGTAGGAGGAAATAAGACGAGAAGTAACCCAAATTCCTGCACGGATGCTGGTCGACGCAATGGGCTCATTTCGGGAGAGTCTTCATTCCTGCATTTCGGCTCAAGGGCGCCATATGGCCGACATAATTTTTAAAACGTAAATTTTGTTTTACTTTACTTATTTTGACTGTACTACTCATTTTAAAAAACATGCGTTCTCTCTTTCTAAAAATTGACCATCGGAATTTAAGTTAGTCTTAATTTTTACTTGATCTCATACACTTGGTACTAGCAAATCAGCCTCCTATCCAACTTATCAGATATGCAGGCGCTGAAAGTACTATAAACGCCATTCTGTATCCCACGTTTTCTCTTCAAAAAATAACTAATGTCTGGCTAACCTGGGATCTTACTCTATCACCGAATGAATCAGTCACAAGAGTGTAATTCTTATTCCACATGCCCATAGAAACCTATCGGCGTCTGACGTAAGTCTCACCTCTGTCTCCGTGGAAGAAGTAGGATCAGATTCTAAGGATAAGGCATGGAAAGCACCTGTCAGCTATGCATTTTTTAAAAAAAAAGATGCCTACAAAAGTTTCGGGAGATTAAAAAATGGATCTATTGTTGGTCTCTAATATGACCTGATAATGATCGCAACGATGTTTTGAACGTCAACATCGTAATTTCAAATAACAACTTCAATTTTTTATTGCAGATTCGTAATTAGCAGGAAATTCACATAGGAATGAATTTTCATACGTGAGGTCAGGTGATCATAAATGGTCAAACCGGTATGTTCGGCTGTAACGTGTGAAAAGTTCACATACTGGAAATTTGGCACCACTCATTTTTTGAATAAAGGTTCCTAAAAAACGTTGATAGTTGAATTTACGAAGGTGACCGTCAAATGACCTCTGGGGTCATTGTCTAAGTCATATTAGAGGACATCCATATATCTCATGAAGTCTTAATTCTTAATCTCCTGAAACTTTTGTAGGGAACTTTTTTTTGGAAAAAATGCATGATTGCTAGGTTTCCACAGTGTTCGGGTATAGACTATGAAGGAAAAATATTAATATACCCCGAAATCAACATTTTGGATAATACTCCATTCCATATCATTTAGAAGCGGAGATGGCTGCAATCTACAACATTCCAATAAATTCAGATTAACTTCTAATAACTAATCATTATTAGTTTATTTCTTTGGACAAAGTGGCATATTCTTAGTATGCAAAATTTAGATTCAGAAGTGGGATATTTTTTGCTTCCCTCACTTATAAAGCATTCATAGTAGTTGATACCTGAAATCAGACTAATATATTAGCTGTATTTGGAACTTGTTTGGAATAAATGCCCTTACATAAGATATATCATTTTATTCTCAGGTATTTATATCACAACATTGATTTACACACAATTCGCTACCAGACACCTGTTTTTGCATACTTCCCTGAAGTAAAGTGCTGAAGCTTTTCGCGTCCTTGTCCTGTTGGGACTATTGTAATCTACGTAGTACATTCCTATTCTTGACCTGGAAATATAAAAAATATGTAATTTTATTACATAGCTTTGCTAGTCTCTAATGTTGAAGCTACTACGACCAACTCACAGAATGAGAAGAAATTTCGAAAGCAGTAAAACTTGAAGAACTCGAAATGTGTAAGTGCGTCAGAACTTATCATTGTCGCAAAAGGGAGGAAATTAATAATACTAGCAGCCATAAATGTTGGAACTACAGAATAGTATGGTACCAAGCTGGAAAATTGGAGCTTACCCATATCCTCCAGTCCATTCCCAATCGTCCATGAAACTCCATGCCATGTATCCTACTAAACGAACGTTATCTTCATAAATGGCGTCCAAACAGGCACTTAAGTGATCCTATGGAAACACATAAATTCTTATAAATATTTAGCTGATAATATGTCGGTATGTAATGTTAGTTCGTTCTTCACTATAGGCTTGCGCTTGCCTGGTATGCTGATGAGACTTAGGCTATAGTAGAAAGATGCATGTCCACACTAAAGCGATGTGTAATTAGATATCATGTAATGAAAATGTAGCAACATAATTTAAACAAACTTACTCTAATGTATTGGATCCTGTGAGGATCCTGAATATCTCCAGTGTTATCAGAGAGACCGTTTTCGGTTATGACAATTTCGTGATCCCCGTAGGTTTCTTTCAACCAGTTTAGTACTTTCCTCAATCCCATAGGCCAGATCTGCAGAAAAATAACATTGGATATAACAAAATCTTACAGATATTTAGATATTTATATGTAGATTGTTCAGAAATTGAAATATAATCCTGAGTATACAGCTGCAGATAGGCCACGTCATGACCTACTAAACATTTTTTTCAGAAAGTCTTCTAGTGTTTAGATATAAAGTATCCATTTCTTTGTTGAAAAAACTGGCTTGCATTCAGAATGTGCAATAAAGAACTCAAATTCATAAACAAAATCTTAGCTACTACAAACTCTTACCGAGAACCAATCGGGTCCACCTTTAGGCCACGCAGGGTTGAGCCATTCGATGATGTTCATGTCATCGTAGGTGCTACGTCTGTCGAACGGGGCTTCCCCGGTTGCGTTTGCCATGTGGGTGGCATAGTAGTTGATGGTGAGGTAGTCATGGGTGCCTTTGATCAGCTCCTTCTCTTCAGGGGTGAACTCAGGAAGGCGGGATACTTCGAGACCCTCGCCGTAACTGCGCAGTGCCACTCTGTCCTTGACTATTTCGGGCCAGTCGCCGTAGTAAATTGGGTGACCGTACAAACCGTACTGTGGGAGAAAATAGGAGTTATGTCCTTTTTCGGCAGTGTTTTGGGAGGAAATGAGCAACATAGGGTTAGTTTATATGTGATGTTGGATCCTTTGGCGTAGCGACTCTCCCTACTGTAGAATTTTATCACTCGCCAAACAGGTTTTTATTTTCTACACTAATGGCGAGAAAATATTGTGGAATCCTAAAAAATTTCGAAAATGAGATATTATCTTTTTTGGATGTGATATGACATATCCTTAAGGGAAACGCACTTCAGTTGTTCGGTCTGTACGTCCGCTTATTGGGGGTTGTATGGGGTGGGAGAGGATATATATCAAATTTTTCATATACTTATACGCTCCCGGTAATTCTATGCACCTATTAGATTTTAAATTACTCATACATCATTGTCTGTCCCCTACATTTGCCCTTAAACCTTGAATGATAGAGAAATGTTTTCGATACGTGACCCTGCTTCTGCTCTCTGGCAGACGTGCCGATCTCTATTAGTGCCGCGTCGTGTGGTCAGGTATGTGGAAAATGCGGCGTTGCCAGATGGATGGTACTACCGGTAGGGCGAGGAAAGTATGTCTATGGACTAATTGTATAGGTCTGTTTGACTAAATTTATCCGTTTAATTTCCCTGTTATACAATCATATTCTTGACTACCTTATTTTCTCGCTTTTCTCTAACTTATACTTTACAAACTTGTGACGGTGTGGCGTGAAAAGTGCACAGTCAACCTACGTGACATAATTTTTTAGTTCCCGACGCGGGTTTTGATAGCATCCGCAGGGGAACATTTAAATTTGAATTTGGAAATGTAAAAGATTAAGATGACAACTTACCATGAAAAGTCTAGCTCTCTCGGCTGCAGCAACATCGTCTGGTCTCTGACTGCCTGGTTCGAACCAAGGGGTGTCGATAACCATAGCTACCTTCCCTGCCAATATAAATAATATATTAATTCTGATTGAATTAGTATTTCTTGAGACTTTTAAACTTTTTTCGTGAAGAGGAATGAATGGTCATTTTGCCATCTTACACAGATATGTGCAATTTGAAACACCCGATATAAATGAAGGGTGTTCCAGAATTCACCCAAGATTTGAATTCTATAGAAAACACCATTTTTCTTTTTGATATATTATTATAAAGTAGTTATGTATGACATCACATTAGGCACTTTTCCATAACCATTTTGTATAGAATATGGCTCAATTTCTGCCTAGATTGGCCAATACTCATGTGGATAACGCTTGACCAGTCTGTGGGCTTCTTTCTGCCTAAATTGGGTGATTGGTATGGATAACGTGTGATTTCAACAAAACTGTCTCATCCCGTATCGCCCGACAAATAACACATTTACTGCATGTAACATTTTCTGGTCTTGTACTCTGTTGCTCCTCCAGATCATGTGATTTAACACCATTGGATCTTTTTTATTGGATTATTTGAAGGTGTGAGTCAATAAGTTCACGGACACTCGTGCGTTGAAAGAGGAAATTGAACGTTGTCCCAACGAAATTCAGCTACATTCATACAAAATCGTCTTGAACCAGTGGCGGACTTGAGAGAAAAGGTCCGGTCGGAAATCTACTAAAGGGGCCAATGGCGGATTTTGAGGGTGCCTCCTCCCCTTAAAACGCCCAAGTCTACTATTTTTCAGTAAAGTGGTGCACATTAGTGTAGCATGCTGCTGAAATTGCCTTGGTAAACCTGAATATGGAGACGTGCGCCAACCCTAGATGTATCCCACCCTCCATCTCACAAGGGCAATCACTCTCAGAAGCGCTGCCCCTTCAATTTCCAAACCCCGGCAACAAATCATCAGCCTTTCTTTGAACTTTCAAATGCGGACGAGTATAATTCACAGTTATATCGTGTCGTCATGAAAAAAAATGTTTGTACTGATCTCAAAACTAAAATTCCACAACCTGATGGCTTGGCGGGTCAGATCTCGGATTGGAATCAACATTTTTTTGAGGAGAGTACCTACCTATAGAAGCATGAACTTTGTGAAATTCAAGATAGAAAAAAATGCGAATTTTAATAAATAAAAGATATATTATTATTCCTAAGTAAAATTTCAATCAAAAGTGACTTTGTCGATATTTTTTACTAGTTTATTGGGCTGACAATTCGAATGTCTTCCGGAAGAAAAAATGCATAAAATTAAGTTTTTTCGTAAAGAAGATGGAGCAGCCTATCCCTTATATAAAGGAAACTTTGTGCTCCGGCCTTTAAATTAATCGGATAGCCTTTGGATTAAATTTTCGGTATTTTGAACCAAAATTGGCCATTTTCATGATACTGGAGGGCAGTTGATGCGTAAGTTTCAAGATTAGGGAAACAATTGAATTTTAGCCTTTCTACAACATTTCTCGTTACTCCTGTGATTGAAAAACGATAGCTGTACAATGTGTGAGTATTCCGAAATAGTATTGTGGGAAGAATTAAACAATGAGTTTTTAAATTGTGACAATATAATTCGTTATTTCAGTCAAAAGTGTTTTAATCTTTCATTGTTTTATTGGGCTAAAAATTCGAATGTTTTTCGGAACAAAAAGTTCATAAAATAATTTTTCCAAGTAAAGGAGAAGGATTAACCTATAGGAGTTTTTATTTTCGAACCTCTAAATTAGTCGCAAAGGCAGCTAGAGCCAGTTTTCAATCTCTTGGCCCAAAATTTACTATATTCACAATATCACAATGCTATAAGGGGTGTATATGTACATGTTATTGGAAATTGAACTAATCAAAGAGGTTAGCTATGTTACAAATAATTCAACACAATGCTTAATGTTAATTGAACACAGCACTTTTTAAGGGATCTTTCCAAAAAAATATAGTTCAGTAAAAGGAAGCGATCTCAGAAATAGTCACAATGTTCGAGGGCCCTGTGTATGGAGCAAAGTTGAAAAGGCCATTTGCCTGGCATGCTCATCCATGATGCATAAAGCTATTCTGTGTACTTTGTGATTCAGTAACAAATGACAATCCAAAAAAGCTCTGTTACCTATTTAATTTAAATCATTCGCTAACTATGAACGAAAAAACTTAGGCACTTATAATTTGTTACACTTAACAAACTGCAATGTTCCTTTATTCCTTACCTTTGTTTGTTGCTCTAAATTCTTCGTCATAGATTCGGTAGGCCTTAGCATGGGCCAACAAGACATTCTTAGCACAAATGTAGTTGCCTTCACCAGGTTTAAAAATTCCAGGGGCAAAAACACCTACACCATACCCTGCTTCACATACCTTCAAAAAAAGGTAAAGATAAAGTGTTAAAATCTCATTCACGCCCCGTTAACACAAACACCAGCACGCAACGTTCAAATTCGCGCGCTTCCTATTGGTCAGCGGCCGATAAATGCCTGGGTGTGGCAGCGACAAGCGGTGACGTGCTCATGTTTGTGTTGAAGCAGAGTAAATGAGGTTTGAATACATCTTAGTATTAGTTTTGAATAAAATATATGCTGACATTTGTATGAACAATTAAGTTATCATTTTAATACGTCTGTTGGGGCGCTCAAAGCGGGTTGCCCAATCCCGAAACTGGCATCAATTCCAACGATATTGATGAATGTATAAAACCCTCTAGGATAGGCACCTTGTTTAGCCCAAACAATTCATTTAGAAAAGCTCAAATATCAAATAATTAGGAAACGACTCCCAATTTGTTGCTTCCCAGAATCTCGTTGAATTACCTGTTTTGGTTCGTTGATTGTGATCCACCATCTGATTTCATCTCCAAAAAGTTCGTAGCAAAGTCTGTAAACCAATATTTTGGTAGTTATTTAGGTATGTAGGGCGGAGCGTAAAGAAGGGGCGGTTAGGACCAGCGGAGTAAAATTAGAGCCCAAGCCGTGAAGCGTCGCGGGCTCTAAAATGCACGTCTACGATAGGCTAAAATCGAAAATGTAATGTAATGTAATTCAAGTAACTAAGAAAAAGTCTAATACCACTCTAACAAAGTAAAACCATAAAAAATAGCTGGCTCACATCAATTCCAGAAATCTGTATAAATTATTTCTAAATAAAAAAATACTAAGAATTGTGAAGGAAAATTTCTTTGTCGAATTTTCGAACTCTTGCATCAAATATTGATCGCCAATTATTAAACCTGCGGGATCAGCGGATTCACATTTTGGATGTGCGGAATCCCGTTTTGTGGTATCGCAAACCTTAGTCCTAAGCCCCGTTGCGCAGCCTAGCCTATGTTTGACGGACAGATTTTGGAGTGACCAGCATAGCTGTTCAAGGTTTGATACGAATTACTCACCTAGCATACTCAGCGAATAAGTCAGCTACTTTAGGACTCAGCCAGCCGCCAAAGTCATCTTGCAGTTGCTGAGGAAGGTCCCAGTGGTAGAGAGTCACCATTGGTTCAATATCCAGCGCATTCAGTGCTCTCAGGAGGGTTTTGTAATATCTAACACCCTCTTGGTTGATGCTTTGCGAGCCATTGTAGTACCCGGTTGGCAAAATCCTGGACCAAGCTAATTGAGAAAATAAAAAAATACCGAAAGGTTTTAGACATTTAGACAATCGAAAACTTATCCACGTTACAGCGTAATTACTGGGATACAGAGTGTTCAATTTCATTTGTTGTTGTTGATATATGTATTTTTAATTTCTTTCAAATTACTTTAGTGATTTAGATGAGACACTGAACCTGTGGTAGAAGTTAAGAAACTTAATCTGTATCGGTTATATATATCTCAACTATCCCAGGGACGGCGCTATCAAATTTTAACAGGGTATTCTGGGGTTTCACTAAGCACGCCTCTGGTTTCTTTTTTTTTCGGTGGGATCAAAGGAGGTAAACCAACACTTTTGATGGACATCGAAAAGCGCCAACAGAAATTAACACAGTCCTAACTATAGCTTGGTTTTGTATTGTATAACAGGTGAGGAAAACGGAGATTGGCAGAATAAAAGCAAAACTTTTTATTGGTAAGTGCTAATAATATTATCCATATTGGGCTTTCTCCTGGACAGTAGTGAGGGAATTTTGATCAATTTCATTCCATTTCTTGTATTTTTGAGTGCTCAGTTCCAAAGGGTCAAATTTTATACCTAACACAACATTGCAAAATATTGAAGCCAAACCAAGGTTTCTGAGGGATACTAAAAAGGGCCAACAAAAACTTTAACTTTGAATCGCCTTTCATTTCGAACCTAAAAGTTCTTAAAAAATATCTTCATTTTCGCGTTATAAAGAGTAATTATACATTCTCTCATTTTAGTGCCACGAGATTCTGTTGAGGAGCTCAGCACGCCTAAAAAATTCTACGAATATCAAAGTAATGATACCACTTCCAGATCTTTTCATGGGACATTGATATAAAAGCAGTAACTTCCATATTGTGCTCAACTAGGTATTTGCTTTTAAGCAAGAATTTGCTCGGATCACAGCAACTATTTACAAAAAACTGAAAATTTATTGTATTGTAACGCCCTCGTATAACTGGAACTCTGAGTACGAGCTATACACCTTCGTGCGTCGAGCGGAATATTCGACGGGTGTCCAGAAACATTGACGCTTAGGCAACCAGAGTTACGCTGCCGTGCATGAGCGATTGCGGCCTCATTGAGGAGCTTCGGTCGGCGTCAGAAGCGTTCGAGAAATATCGATAGCTATCTCGACACCTTAGATAGGGCGTGCGAATGTTCTGGAGTTCGTTGAATTCAAAATTAGTTCCCAGACGTTCCCACCAGAGGGAGAGCCAACGGAGAGCGTCCGATGAATCAACAGAGTCCAGTCGACATGGTTATAAGTTTGTCATAAATTAGTTGAAAGTGTTGTGATTTTAAGCCTAAGCTTCTTCTGGTGATGTATAGGCTTGCCACTTTGGTTGGTAGCGCTAGGCAAATCTCTCAAAAATTTTAATTTTGGCGACAAACACGTAAACGTATAGGTTTGGTCCGTTTTAACGTATTCGGATTCGTTGATAGTGACCGTCCCATATTCCACGATGCCCATCGGATTTTAATCCTTAGCTTCTTCTAGTGATTTGAGCATAGAATCTTGTTCCGTAGTTTTAGGTAAGATTGAAAAAATACTCTTACCAATTGAAAGCCTATAGAATTGCGAATTCAGTCCTTTGATTATAGCTAAATCCTCTCTCCATCTATGATAGGAATCGCAAGCCACTTCGGGAGTTGACCTGTCAATGATCATCTCGGGGCGTGTCATAGCAAATCTGTCCCAGATTGTTTCTCCTTTGCCTCCCTCATTCCATGCTCCTTCAATTTGTGGAGCGGCATTTGCCACTCCAATCTTGAAAGAGTCTGGGAGAAATCGGTTGTTGATTGCTTGAACATGGCTAGAAGTAAATAATGGTTTTGCTAAGAAATTCTTTTTTTTTCAAGATTTAAAATGTTTTGTGAAGCTAAAACAAACGATAAGAGAAAAAATAGACCATTTTCATTTTTTGACAAAAAGAAAATGATCCAAGCAGGAAACATACTAATTTGGAAGTTACTTCTAAAAGTAGTTTTGCAATATGAAAGTATCATTCTTCAAAACAGTATATCTACAATTCTAGATACTGTTTTCAGAAACAGCTATGTTGTTGGCTAGAAGTTAATAATGGTTTTGCTAAGAACTATTTTTCTTCCATGAATTAAAATCCTTTTGTGGAGCGAAATCAAACGGAAAAAGAAACACATTTTTATTTTCTCAGGAAATATTGTTTCAGGCAGGTAACATCCTTATTTGTAATTTACTTCTAAAAGTAGTTATGCATTACGAAGGCATCAATCTATCCTATGTCCTTTTCAGAAAACAACTTGGTTTGAAGTTTTTAATTAATTTTAATTTTTTAATTAATTTGCGGTGAAACAGCACCGAAAATGTAAAAAATAAATTGTGTCAAAACCATGGCTCATTTTTTAATTGCTTAGAAAAAAAATAGGTTTTATTGTTTGACTACCTATCTCAGCACTAGATTTTGTTTTAGGTACAGTAAAATTATATTATATCAAACAGTTTATCAAGATGGTAGCCACAGTCTTTTTATGAACTCGGTTTATTTATGCATTTCTCAAATTTGGTTACGTTTCGAACGTGGTTACAATATTTGAAGTGACTATCGTCAGATTTCCCACCTATTTGCGTACAACATTTTGACTCTCTAAAAAACATACCCACTTGCTTGCCTTCCGTTTGTTTGTATTCAAGACTAGCCCTATACCGTACTGAGTTGATAAAGAGCACAACACAGAGCATATTTACATAAAAACACAGTCTTATGGTGAACCGATAAAATCAAAAAAATCATAACTAGAATTTCAACCCTAAAATCGCACACGCCTGTAGCAATAATGAACTTGTCGATTTACCGAAGAGGCTACGCGAGAGTATTCAGATCGTTTTCTTCGACGTTTCCAACCTAGGCTGGATGGTTCTTGAAATTTCTTATCAAATGAACGGTTACTTATTTTTTTCTTTTTGGTTGTTGTTTTGCCGCACATAGCTTCGTTATTTTAAACCAAGTTATTTTTGAAAAGGAAAGTAAAAGCTATTAGAACACCCTGTAAAATAGAAGATAATCGTAAAGTGCTTACCTTGAGCCAAGCAAGCCTTGTAAGAATAACACCAACAGCAACCCTTGCAAACCTCCCATCGTTGATTTTTGGCCGCAAATACTTCGACTGCCAACTTTTATACTACGATATCGAATGAAAGTACTTGATAAGGACACTTGTTTAGATATTTATCTATTAATTTGAGTGTGTTAAGAATATAGAAATTATTTACCGAGAAATTCAAAGCAGTAAAACATTCCATAAATTATACTTCATTATAAAGATGGAGATATTAAGATCTTATGCGTCAAAATTCAGTTCCTCCTATCTCATTATTCGAGCCACGGATGTGCCACTTTTCCCAGACAAAAAAACTGTTGGATTGGCTTGATAAAAAGTGGTACAATGGAAGAAAAGAGAGAACTGTTTAATGAGTTCAAGAAGACGTAGAACAAGATAGCAAAGGGGAGACAAGCAAACGTTTCTTACACTTACCGACCATCAGCGCACGCGGTATTTGGTTCGGTTTCATTGAGTGAGGAAATAATAGCGTTAAGTAGGTTGACTCTGCACTTCCTACGACACGCTGTCATCTGTGCGTGAAATATTATGTTTGGCGTAAGTTAGCCCCTTTTAGAAAGAAGTTATCTACGAACATGTATAACAAAATAACTCAGACAATCGGTTAAATAAATTTACCGTTTCCCACCTCTACAACCTGCTACCTTCATTTTTTTTCCCTTCGGAAAATAAAAAAAAGAGCAGAAATCTCTGAAACCTCTAATAAAATTCTGGCGCGATTTATATTTTCTACACGCTTATATTAACTTGGCCTGTATGTATGTATCGGCATCTTTGAGCATACTTTTTACCAATCTCCAGAAGTTTGATTAATCTGAAACTTCGCACACGTATCATGACATGTCCACAAAAAAATAATTGATAAATCGAACTAAAAAACACGCTTTTATAGCTAACCGAACGAAAAAGTAGAAAATAATTTTTAATTACAAAGAGTTTATATTACAGTATTAGATGGTCGAACAATCAATCACAATTAATGACCTCAAAATAAAATTATAATAAAATATAAGTTATTAACAGAATAATTCAATTCAGAATAAAAAGCGTGGGGTGCTTGATATATTAAATGTTACAATCATTCTATTGGCAACTATCCTCTTGAGAGGAGAGTTATGAAAATGTATTAAAAAGCACCCCAAGCTTTTTACTCGGAATTGAATTATTATGTTAATAACTTAAATTTTATTATAATTTTATTTTGAGGTCATTAATTATGATTGATTGTTCGACCATCTACTGTAGTATAAACTCTTTATAATTAAATATTATTTTCTAATTTTAGTTCTGTTAGCTATAAAAGCGTGTTTTTTTTAATTTTTAGCCAATTATTTATTTATCCGTAGCTTCGTCACTGGTGGATTTATTTATACAAATTTTCCAACTGTGGCATCCCTATTTCATCAATATCCGTGGATTATTTTTAAAGTTACATAGGAGTCAATTGGTGCATATTTACTGTTTTGAAATTTTGTCCACAGACTGTCTTGACTGTCGAATTGGGATGTAGTTTATACTATCTCTAAAAAACCAGTACGCGCTTATAACTGAAAAACTAAATCCGGAGTAGAGCACCATTTTTGGTTAATTACGAAAGCATGGATCTTAATCTAAGGCGTCTAAAATCATGTTGCATTTTTTGTGTTTTGAATGGAATTTATAGTTCCAGGTCAATTTCCTACTTAAGGGTCGCCCTGTATTGTATCATATACCATCATTATGGAATCAATAGTCTTAAAAGATCAAGGACTAATAATTTACTTGAGTGCCACTCAATTCGTTTATACAGTTTTGTTATCACAATGTCACAAATTGCTGATTGCTTATAAAAACGCAGTTGTTATGTTTCAAATTTTGATAATAAAAAGGTACTAGATTCATGGAAAATATTTTTGATATCATGCTATCAAGTTCTTGATACAATAATCAACTAGGTGTTTGGGGATTTTCCATTTTTCAGTAAGCTTAAACAAGTTGTAACTTATAAGTTCAATTGCTCAATTTATTTTTTATCCTGAAGGTATGATTTTGAAATTTGCTTTCAATATTATTATCACATTTGATGTATTATGGTGTGCTCAATTTTGTCTGCACCTGAGTACAAGCTTGGTAATTATGCGACATTATACAATAATAGGTTCATACCTTGAAAACAGATAAGACCGTAATTTGCCCTATTTAGATATCTTAAGAATCGATTTTTAATTCGATATCGGATTCGTTATCAGGCACCTGGAAAACGTAGAATTGAATTTTTTGTTGTAAAATTTTGTGAATGTTTCTAATTATGGCCATATTTTAAGTTTTTTGACTCAATTATAAATGTTAATTCGTGCTAAAACATAATGTTTTCCATAGTATATATAACTATTAGCAGTATTTACGTATGAGCTCTTAGGATGAATGCGATACGCAAGGACCGTGGCGTCAGTGCCGTGGCTCAGAGAGCGAAGTGACGTCACAACCGAATATATGCAAATGAAACTAACATAATATTTTACTATAGGAAACTTCCTTATTCAAAACACCTGTGATTTATCGGGAACCTCGTAGTCATCATAATGATTGTTATTTTTGTATGGCTAATATTACCGGTATAAACTCTGCATACCCGGATTATTGGTCATATCTGGCGTTGTCTTCTGTTCAGCGACCTAATACATATTCTGATTAGTCAGACACTGAAGAGAAAAACATGAACCTAACTCATTTCTCGGACTGAGAAATGCAAATCTTTTCGGCGATGTGAGTACTAATTCAAGTTTTGCTTGATATTGATAATTGTCATATCTTGTTTTGCTGTTAATAATGCACATCTTACAGTTGTATTTGAAAAAATAGTGATAGAACACATCTCAGCAACCCAGTCCCGTGAATCAACATGTGTTTGATGTAAGGTACCTAGGTCGAATATGGCCAGCCTGTAAATATGGCCACATACCGTTTTCCCAAACACGAAAGTTTGTTATGAGCTGAACGCGACCCTAAATTGTCGCTAGTGTCGCATGTATTCGAACGGCCTACCTGTCACCCATCCGTGCAAGCGTTAGCCGCTCAGCCGTCATTATAGTGAAAAGCAGTGTTGAGGTTATAAAAACAGTAAGTAAGTATTGTCCTGTATTTTAACGTTGTTTTCATTATAAATCTTTATTATTCACATTACGATGTTGTGTAATAATTGTAGTTTCATATTTCTTTGTATATTTATCAAAGTAATAGTATGTTTTTCATTCGTGAATATGAAAACAAAAAATTTGGATGACTGCAAATATGGCCACCGTTTGGCCATATTAACAGTACTTACTGAATTGCTGACACGTTTTTTTGTTTTTTGTTTTAGACCATGGCACGCTATAAATGTAAAGGGCTTCGAAGTAACTGGCAGATGCTAATATGAAATTAGCTTTAGCTGCAGTCAGAAGTGGTAAAATGAAAATTTATACGGCTTCCAAGCATTATAATGTGCCAAGACGCACTCTGAGACGTTATTTACAAGAAAACAAAGAGACCAAATCTACTTTGGGCCGGAAACCACTTCTTAACCCTGAAGATGAAAAGATTTTGGAATCCCGTATTATTCGTCTGTGTAATGTGGGATATCCATTAACACAGCGTGTACTTCGTAGATGCGTGAAGACGTTCTGTAATCAAAATAACATTCCAGCGCCAAGTGGAGGCTTGATGGTGGGACGAGATTGGCTGAGAGGATTTTTAAAACGTCATAGGAATATCAGTAGACGAAAAGCACAGAACCTAAACCCCGCAAGGGCACAAAAGCTGAATAAAGCAGTAGTTTCCGATAATTTTAGTAAATTGAAGAAAATCTTAGTAGAAAATGACCTTATATGACCTCTATAATATTGACGAAAAAGGTTGCCAGCTTAATTTGCACAAATCACCAGAAGTTTTGGCTGAACGTGGATCCAAGAGAGTACATTTGGTAGCACCCGAACACGGCGAGAATGTAACAATAGTTTCATGTGGCAACACTTTAGGCCATGTCATTCCGCCCATGATACTCTTTAAGGGCAAACGAATGAAGCCAGAATGGGTAGATTCGTTACCCACCGGTTCAGTAGCCCAAATGACACCCAAAGGGAGTATGAATTCTGAAACATTTGTGAACTGGACACACCACTTTGCAAAATTTAAATTGCCAGGACCTTGTTTACTTATCTTGGATGGAGCGAAGTGCCACTTAGACTATTCGATTGTTGAAGCAGCAGAACAATTCGACATCAAGCTTTTCTGTCTCCCGAGCAACACCACACATGAATTGCAGCCCATGGACAAATCAGTATTTCGTTCTTTTGAATATTACTGGGATGAAGAAGTTTTAAAATACTGGTCTATTCACGAGGACAGGAAAATAACCAAACAAAGGTTTGGGATATTATTTTCCAAAGTGTGGGATAAAGCTGCGACACCTGCTAATGTCAAAGCTGGATTTGAAGCTACCGGAATTTTCCCATTCAATCCAGATAGGATTCCAGAAGAAGTATACGCTCCCAGCATACCTACTCATAATTTCGCAGGACCTGGAGCTTCTCCTTCTGAAAATCAAGAAAATGGAGATACTAACGACAGCGACGCTACAAATCTGTTAATTCCTCCTCAGGAAAATGAAGATACTAATGAAAGCGACGTTACTGATGCCAGTGGAAATTCTCCTTATCCTCTCCCAAATGAAGACAAAGGTAATTCAAATCCATCAAATGATTCCTCAGATTCACAGCCAAGCCAAGCAAAGCGTTGTGCTGCAACTCCAGACAACGCCTCTGATGATCATCCACAGCACCCAAATCAAGAAGATATATCGAACTTTATAGAACCCCTGCCAAGTGTTTATGACGATTACGACAGTAGCGATCACATTCCTTTGTCCAAACTAAAGCAACATAACAATAATATCGAGTCAAAAACTGAATTAAATGTAGTCTGCTCCACAACACTTAATGAGTCATATACATCTTTGTGTCAAATGTTAAAAACTCCAGAGAAAACGTCAAACCCAAAAACTGCTCCAAGGGCAAAAGCTATCAATAGTCTCGCACAGGCGCTAACAAAATCAATGTTTACAGATAAAAATAACATGTCAGGGCCATCAAATGCTCCTAAACAAAAAATAGAAAATATACCAGGCCCATTTAAAGTGGCTTACCAAAAAAGAAAATATTCTGCTAAAAGGAACAACAGTGAAGCAGTAACTCCGAAGAAGGTTTCTAAACAGTCACGTGGTAAAGGACAATCTGAAAAATCTAAAGATTCATGGTACTGTTATGTTTGCAATGAGGACAGAATAGCAGACATGAGAATATGCTTTTTATGTGAAACATATGTCCATGAGGACTGTGTTGGATTAACAAAAGAAGATACAGATAAATTTGTATGCACTCGGCGCAGTCTGGACTAACCACGACGATGATAATGTACTGGATGTCGCCTAAACAATATCTTTTAAATAAAGTTGTATTAAAATCTAATGTCCATTTTTATTTCACTTATTTAGAAGTTATTTAAAATAATATATACCGTAAATATGGCCACATATATGGGCATATTTACCT